CCCGGGGCCCTCCTTGTGAGGAGCGCCGGCCTCGCCCTGCTCTGCTGCCCCGGGGGAGGCTCTGCAGGCGCGAGCCCGGCCTTGCTGCCGTTCTCCCCCAGACCCGTTTAGTTTAACGTCGGGGTCTGTGTTTGTGGGTGAGCAGTCGGATGAGGTGGTTTGAAGGCAGCTCATTTGAAGGGCTCTGGAAACGAAGGCAGCAGTGCCTCAGGAATGGCCGTTTTTCTATGTTTTCGTGGCACAAAGCATCTTCTCTCTTCTCTCCTCCTTCAGAAAATGGTTCCTGGAGAAGCTCAAACCAGAAGGTACTGCACCTCCAAGTTTCTGCTTTGCAAGTAAAACGTTTCTTCTGAGTTGCAGGCTTCTGGGGGCAAGCGTAGCTGTGCAACCCACACATTGCTGCCAGTGTGGGGTTCTGCCCTGTGGACTTGCCTGCCTCGCTGCCCGCTTTGCAGCCACTCCTTCTCCCTCTGTCCATCTCTGTCCCTTCTCATTCTCTCCCTAAGTCTCTTTTCTGCCCTACCACATTGGATTTGCAGATTTCTGCCTCTGCAGCAGGTGGCCAGAATTACTTGTCTGTCATCAAGGTGATCCAGAAGGCTTCCTGCCCCTCTGGCTTCGGCGCAAGCTGCTCTCCCTAAGTGCTGCCCTGTGCTGGTGTGCCACAGCACAGTGACTGCACTAGCTCCCAGCTAAGAGCTGCAAATCATCTATTGACATCGCGAGCACAGGCAGCTCGGAGGGCGCTTTGGTCCTTCTCCAGGGCTGTGCACTTGTTTGCTTCTGCCTCCAAACTCACAGCGGAGCCATATAATTCTTCCCCTCTGTTGTTAATGTGAATTAAGAACCTTCCCCTGATTTGCCTGGTGCCTGGGTGTTTCACCCACTGAAGGAGGTGCTGTGACAGTAGGTGTCTTTCCCTGTTGTTAGGTCTGTACAAGCTGCTAGCTGGCTTTGAGGACAAGTCTGCCTATGCTCTTTGTACCTTCGCGTTCAGTCCTGGAAACCCAGAGGAGCCAGTGAAGCTGTTCAAAGGCCAGACGCACGTAAGTGGGGTGCCTGGGATGCGCTGAAGGGAAGGGCTGTAATGTGGCTTTGTTAGTAGCATTGGCTCTAGCGAGGTCGTTAGCAACCCACAGACCAGCTGGATCACCGAGAGCCTGTGGAGGAAAACAACTGCTTTTGCTGTAAGGTCTCCCACCCAGTTCCGAGGGCAGCCCTTTGAGTTGAGTTAGAGGTGGAGTGAAATGCTTTCAATGTGGAGCAACATGCTGATCCATTGAGTTTTAGTCATGTCTTGGGGAACTGCTAGGAATGCAGACAGTGCCAAGCCTTTGGTGTCTGCAGTGTGAAGGGTGGCTGAGGGCAACTTTTCAGCCTGGTTTGAAGTGTGACTGCGAGAGAAGTCCTGGGAAAACACGACTTTATGAGGCTTTTTCTTTTGCATTCGCTTGGCAGGGGCTGATAGTTGAGCCCAGAGGCCCTAGAGACTTTGGCTGGGATCCCTGCTTTCAGCCTGATGGTTACGAACAGACGTAAGTAGTTTTTCACCATTAGCTTTTTGCATAGGGGAAGCGAGGGCTCGATGTTGTATCTTGTTGCCATGTGAAGAGGACCTGCTAAACAAATAAGAGGGGTGGGGAAAAAAGTGATTTCATATAAAACACGCAAACCAGATGTTTCCACTATACTGTAGACCACTGGGGAGTTAGGAAGCCTGGGGGGATTCCAGTTTTTTCTACCCCGTTCTGCGCACTGTCTGCTAAAACATGAGCTTGTTTTCTGTGGTTGAGGTATGTGTGGGGCTTTTGTCCATGGTGAAAGGCTCTTGTGGCTGATCTGGTAAGTTAATGTACCTGCATTAGGCATTGCAGGAGTTCGTGCAGAGAGCAGACAAGTGGATAGGATGCCCTCTTGCCTATGGAGAACATGGGAAAATCCTGTGCTGCTACAGAAGAGGCAGGGGGACGCAAGCTGGAGCGTCTGAGTTGCTGTGACATGTCTTGGCTTTTCTCGCCCCCAGTTACGCCGAGCTGCCCAAGGCAGTGAAGAACTCGATCTCGCACCGTTACAGAGCACTGAACGAGCTCTCCACCTTCTTCCTCCAGAACAACTCGACAGACGCCCCAGACTGCCCCAGCTAGTGCCCCGCCAGCTGTGGGCACTGGTGGCTGCGAGGTCCCTTCCCAGCTGTGCCCTTCCATTAAAGCGGTTCTTTCCGGGGCCACGAGGACGCGTTCCTGCCTGCTGTGTGTCCGGGGGGGACGCGGAGGCTGCGCCGCCCCGGCTGTCGGGGCCGCGCCCGCGGAGCGCGCGT